ATATATATGAGTCATATACGATTTTGACCAGAACTATGTTTTGTGTCCTGTATCTACCATAAGTCTAAATACAGTTAGTCTTTTTTTTCCATATAAGACTATAAGATCGACATACATTGAACAAATTAAAGCATAATGTGAATAACCACATTTGCTTTGAACGATATGAGCTCCAAACTTATAGCTATTGAATGTTGTATGGTATGGATTTGTAAAATAAAGCATTAACAAAGAAATTATTATCGGAGGTATGAAATCATTGAACTCTACTTTCACCTGAAACTGTTAGTAATTGCACAAAACCAAATAGTAGTACATAACTCGGACTAACATTGGGTGGAGAAAGTATGCCAGCGTGCCAGAACCTGGCTTTTCATAAGTGATAGATTTTTGACGGGGAGAAACTCTTGTCCGCTACCAAAACTAAAAATATCTAGCAAGCACACAATGAGCATATATAAACTGCGCATTGTGCACCTTTAAATTGCCATGGTTTAATAATAAACGTGTGCCTGTCTTCGTGTATAACCGACAAAAATGATCATGCTTTATAAATATTTAACTTCTTTGCATGTTAACCGGTTCAACGCGTTAACAGTACGAGTACATGTAAATGTATAAGTGACCGAAGGGTCATTCACCACGAATGACGTCAGGGTTTGGCCTATTTTTGGTCTTCATTATGCGGGCGTATCCACACATAGAAAGTTGAGGGGGGATTTGGTTATCTTGTGTTTTAGAGTCAGTTGTAATTTCGCGATAAAGATACCATTCCATACTGAATTACTATAAATATGATGTATCATAGTTGTGTAATAGGAGTAATTATCCAGGGAAAAAATTAAATACGCTTGCAATACTCAATTTGGTATCAAACCACCCCTATCGTGGAAGTTTGGTACGTTCACAAATACCCCCAGTCTGGGTCAGACTCTATACCAACTGTTTTGTACACAGTACTTTTCCCTGGTCTTCCTGTGACGATACGCACCTTGATATACGAAGATAAGTATTTTGCTGGAAGTCGTGACGGCTGCTGGTACTTATGCCGACTTGCCGACATTCCTGTTGGCTGTGTGTGCCTGTCTGCTGACCTACCTGTACCTGCAGCGTCCCCGGAACCTACCGCCGGGACCCAGGGGCTGGCCGCTGGTTGGAAACCTCCCCATGTTAGCTAAGGTGAGCCCGAGAAACTAGACTCCACTAGCGGTGGTGGGGAGGATACAAAGCTAGAGATTGATTGGCCAAAAATGGGTGAACAAGATGCCAGGGAATTAAAGTTCACCGTTGAAACAATACAGGGCAATGACATCAGTGGTATCAGTGCCTTAACTGTTGGTTACAATATGCCTCTTACTGTGGTATTGTATAGTATATTGTATGGTACACAATTTTGGCCAGTATGCCACTATCGATGCATGTCTTCCACTTTTGTCTTGCCTAATGTTAAATGCAGAAGGACAGCGTGTGGAAACATGTTGTGGAAACATCAGAGAAGAAGGATCAAATAGCGTGTTCGTTAGGACTCCCCTAATATGCATTTAAATGAGTAAAGCAAGTGCCTGCGTGACTTCATCTGGGTTTACCAGTAAACAAACGTCCGTGCCAGGTGTGAATTCCACTGCCACCATTGCAGCCAGAATAAACAATGACAATGATGTTGGCACTAGTGCATGTATTTGCACATTCATGCCCATGAGGGCTAAGAACTAAAAGACTGTTTATCAAGCTATTGTACTACATAAAACAGATCACATTCGCGATCATGACTTCAGGATGAAGGGGTCATCGTGAATACCGCGAAAATAAAACTACCACGACCATTTCAAAATTTACAGTATTTCCTTGGAAGCATGTTGGCCCTGGATCCGAAGAAATGGCCTGTGTAAGCCGTGGAATCACTCTGGAACCCAGGCTAAGTAATCACAGGTCCTGGCAAACGATAATTTTCTGTACGAGCCTATTTTACTTGCAAATAAACGTTTTCCTTTTCTCTCATTATATTTCCAGTCTGATTTTTATCCCGCCACTTTAACGGAGCTGTCCAAACAGTACGGTGACGTCATGACCATCTGGATCGGCCACGTTCCCAGCATCGTGCTTTCTGGGTACGAGACTATCAAGACTGCCCTGGTCAAGAGAGCTGAGGATTTCTCCAATCGCAAGATCCCGCAAATAATTGCAAATGTACGCGGGGATGGCACGACCAAGAGTGCAGCTAAAGGTAATTTAATGTCCCATTTTATGTGTACTACATTCCGCTCTTCTGTCTATAATGCTACAAACATTTACATGACCATTTGACTATTGGAGCATTTTTTATATGTTGACAACTTTGTGTCAACATGAACTTCGGTGTTAGGATCTTCCCCGTATTCTACTAGACTAAGTATATTACTGAAAACAATAATGTATTCTGCACAGCACTTTGACAGAGCGTCTCGTTTAAGGTCGTGTTCGCATACATAAGGATCTATGGTCTATGGTTGTCGAGGATGTTACAAAACGTCGTATATCCCCAGGTGTCCTGCATGCCGCGTACGGACCAGAGTGGAAACATCAGCGCAAATTCGCCCTCATGACTCTCCGGGACTTCGGCGTCGGCAAGCGGAGTTTGGAAGGCAAGATCAGCGAAGAAGCTAACGCGCTGGTTCAGGAAATTCTGTCTCAAAACGGACACCGGTTCGACTTAAAAGTCATCCTCCAAAACAGTGTTTGTAACATCATTTGCTCGATTGTCTTCGGGGGCCGATTTGAATACGGCGATCCTGATTTTCTGCGACTGATTCGCCTGTTAAACGCCACAGTTGAAAAGCCCTCTGTCGGCGAGCGTCTGGCACTGATAAACCCCGTGTTTCGACACCTCCTACTTGGAAAGCGCCCAAAAGGTGTAGAAATGTTGCTTGCTCTCCAAGAGTTCTGCAAGGAACAGATAGAGGATCACAGGCAGACCTTTGACCCAAGCGACATTCGGGACTTTATCGACGCCTTTCTTCTTGAGCAGCAGCGGCCTCAGGACGAAACAGCCCGGGAGAACTTCACCGACAAGCAGCTACAAGAGGTGCGTTAAACGGACGGGCGGACGGACGGAGGGATGGATGGATGGACGGAATGATTGATGGATGGACGGTTGGATGGATGGATGAATGGGCGGAAGGATGAATGGATGGACGGGTGGATTGACGAACGGATGGATGGATTGAAGAATGGATGGATGGATGGATGGACGAATGGATGGATGGATGGACGGACGGATCGATGGATGGACGGACGGATGGATGGACGGAAGGATGGATGGACAGATGAACAGGTGGATGAATGGATACGTGTAGATGGAAGGAAGGATGGAAGGAAGAAAGGATGGGTGGATGGAGATGGCTGGCTGGTTGGTTGGTTGGATGGACGGATGTCTGATGGATGGACGAATGGGTGGATCGACGGAAGGACGGTTGGATTGTTTGATTGATGAATGGATGGAGTATTTGATTGATGAATGGATGGATTGATGAATGAATGAATGTATGTGGAATAGCTATTATGAATTGAAAATTTGAAGAAGAAACTGAAAAATTATTAGTACTAATAATCGTCTAACTTCAGGTGCTGATAGACTTGTTTATGGCCGGTACTGAGACCACCGCCACCACCATTCGCTGGGCCCTGCTGTACATGATGGTCAACCCAGAAATCCAGGAAAAGGCAAGTTCCGATAACTTTTATATTATTACGACGTAAATATTATTCGACTCCACTTAGTTACACAGCTTGTAATGCTTTGGAACTAGCTATAGTCATACTTTGCTGAACTGCCCAAAACATTCGTCCCTAACATAACGGCGGTTTCCCCCATCAACATGGCACTAAATGACGTCATACTGACGTGACGCCAAGTAACCAATAACAGCAATCATGTGACCACAGGTTCACCAGGAGATTGACTCTGTGCTGGGGCAGAGCCCGCCGTCCTACGCACAGCGGAACCTGCTGCCCTACACAGCCGCGACCATAGCGGAGGTCCAGCGGATCAAACCCATCGTGCCCCTCGGTGTTCCACACGCAGCGTCCAGGGACACCACTCTCAATGGCTATAACATCCCTCGGGAAACCATGATTTTTGTAAGAAAAATAATGCTTTTATTATTAAGTTCTTATCTACACATCAATGAATCCACCTACATTTGCATTTATGCATCTATGGTTTTACGGGCTTTTCGTTTCACGTCATTTGCGCGATGTTGGAGTACAGTGTACTTTTGTTATAAACACTCGAAGGTACAGAAGGTACTTGGCTGCAACGCTTTTTTTTAGGAATAAACAGTTTTGATTGGTTGATTGGTTGATTGATTGATTGGTTGGTTGATTGATTGATTGATGTTTCTCCATGTTATGTGTGTTACAGGTTAACCTGTGGTCCGTGCACATGGACCCTGAGCTGTTCCCAGAGCCGGACAGCTTCCGACCCGAACGTTTCCTGGATCAGGACGGAAACTTCGCCAAACACGAGGCGCTCATCCCGTTTTCTATCGGTGAGTCTGTGTGGGAATAAGGAGGCTCATAAATAAATAAGAATGCACATGCCAGTGTGAATACCCGGAGAAAATTACGCGCTGAAAGCTTCTTTCCTAGAACTACATCACTATCAGTAGGGAACAAGCTTCCTTTTGAATGCTTGCTAGATGAGGCCAAATGGGTACACTTTTAAACATATTAACCCTACTTAAAGGTAAATAAATATCTGTCTTTACAACCCAAAACATGAATTCAAAGTGGTTCGTATGGGCCTTGGTTTGAGGTGAAAATTGAAGTAAAGTGACAGGGGCTTTAGGGACATTGAAGTTCAGTGATAAAGTCCAGCATCTAGTTCGGACATTTTGCGAGTAGAGTGAACAACAAAAGTCAAA